GCTTTGAGTCACAATTGGGAAGCAGCAGGAGGCACAGCAAACTGAACACATAGACATTTTGAGTGGCCATTTCCTGCTGTACAAAACCATCAGAACACAGAAAGAGAGTGATTATGTCGAGGGGGGTTCTTAACTCTGTCTTTCCTGATGCAGCATCACAGTTTGACTCACATACAGATGTACATTTCACATTCCTAGCTGCCACATTAACCATCATTAGTTTCTTCAGAAAATACCATGGAAGATCTGAGTTACACTTGGCAGGTTCATCAGTGATGGTCTTCTCATCAATCTGAAGTATTGTGCTCAGGGATAGCTTATCTGTATCTCTGTAGTGCTGCTCCAATCCCAGATCCTCCAATAAGCTCTCCAGTTGTGTCTCTGTGGATATTAGGATGTTTGTTATTTCAAACCAATCATACGTGGTTTAATGACAAATCCATGCGTGTGTGCCCAAATGTCTGGTATTGCTGCAAATCTGTGTCTATTTCCTGGAAGCATTATGTACCAGTGAACAGTAGATTTCAAACTTAAAAAGTAAAGAAAAGACTCCAGCCAAGAGATTTTTGGTCCTGATCCTTAACCAAGTAAGGATTATTCATTTTGTCTACATTGAGGCTTGTGTTTGCATTTATCCATGTTATTGTAACCATGTCCTGACTCTGTGCATCTTCCCTCTGGGAAGGACATTGTGACTTACTGCTTCATTATTGTTATAACCATGTTTTTATTTTACTCACTTGTGTATGCAGATGTTTGGTCAGTCTCGCTAGTTTTCTCATTCTTTGGTTCTTCAGAAACCTGGTTGAGGTTTTCATTGTAGGGCGCTGTGAAAATAACAACAATAATACAGTTGATAATCATGGTTTTACTTAATGCTAGACTGCCCATCATTTAGAAACGTTCTGCTTAACAATAGATTGAATAAAGCTGACCTTTACCACTTGCATCAGTCTGTTGAAAGTCACCCTTGCTGTCAGAATGTGGTGTTGATGGAGTGTCCTCTAATTCCTCACAGTCTTCAAATGAATCTAAATCACTGATCTCCTTGATAAATAAGAAAAACAGTATGTAATTTATTGACCCTACTCCTTGTCCCACACACATTAGCTTGTAAAAAACCATTTCCATTTCATTTAGTGTATCTTTTTGAGTTGTAGAGACTAGATGTTTACCTCCATTGTGGGTGCAGTCTCAGTCATCGCACACTTGGTCCAGATTATTAAAACAGCTTCTCACTGAAAATAATGAGAGAAAAGTATATTAGGCTTTATTCTTTCTTTCTTTCTTTTTTATAGACAATATTACTATAAATACCCGACAAAGTTTATAATACCATGCAGCCTACCTGAATGCATTATCTTTTCAATCACATTTAATTTATTATTCTCAGTCTTAAGCTCTCTCCTGTAGGCTTGGAAAGTACACGACTTTGGCGACTCCCATCTCCACCCCTCCAGAATCACATGACTGATCCTTGAGAATATATAACACCCACATCCTACACCTGTTTATGGTGAGAATATTCTGCATTGCATTTACCCTACCAACGAGCGCCCCTGTTGGAAACGCCCCTCAACCCAAAAACTCAGAAACTTCATAAACAGAGTGTATACTTCATCTTAAACATGCCTGCCTCTCTGTGCTAAACTTGTGAAGTCCCACAGGTTTCCCCTTACCCCTTAACACTCAAGACATGCAATTCATGTCAAACTGTGTTTATAGCACATAGTCTACTTTATTTGGTCAACTTTAACTTGACAGAGTCAATCTGACACATTGCATTTAAAAAACAATTTTTTCAATAACATTTAAATGAACTGTCTGAAACTCTATGCTTAAAGAGTTCTCCTTCAGAAATATTGAGAGATTCATCAAAGACAAGGCACACATTCCAGACCAGTCCAATCAAAGAATCTGATAACACACTGATGAAAATAAACCAAGGATCTCAAACTGCCGGCCCAGGGACCATTTCCAGCCCTCCACCCCCTCCTTTCTAGTTATTTCATATCAATTTATACTACCCCTTCATATACAGTTAACCACATTATATTTTTAAAAATGTATTTTGTTTGGGAAAACTAATGGCTTGTAAATGTAAAAGGTGCCTGTAAATGCGTCCAGTGGGTTGATAAAAGGAGAGGGCTTAATTTGTTGTTTAGCTTACAAACAACAACGATTATATAACATTATGATATTAAAATGTATATATTACGTATGATGATGCTCTTGACATTTATAAACGATAGACTGGAGATCATTTATCATCACTGATGGACCTCAGAAAGAAGATGGTATCGTTTTTACTTTCCCTTACATATCAGTAGTGTTCGGTAGTTTCCACTTCAGCTGTGTGCGCCCCTGCGAGGAGCATGCAGCAGGCAGAACCTCGTGCCAGTTTGTTCTAAATCCTTCATATAATACATGTACTATCATCGTTTTAAAGAAGCCGAATAAATGCACATAAAGCATTAAAATAACTGCAGTGACTGTACTGATGCTGATGTTGTACTCATGCTGATAATGTATGTAAATCAAAGATAGACTTTATAGTGGAAGCCTTGAAAACTCTACAATATCATATTACATGAATAATAGTTTGTTCATATAGTAATTATATGTTACCCACCAAGTTTATCAGCTCCTCCCATCACACACATAACGGAAAAATCACTGCCAAAGAAAAAGCATAGAAACTCACCATTGTAGAAGAGATGTGCTCTGGGTGAAATTGCATTCTTTCTTCCAGGAGTTTTTCTTTTCAGCTATGCAGTAATTCATTGGTCAGTTTCCCGTAGCTGAAGCTCCACTCTTCCCACACATGCGCAGTGCAATCTCGCAGTGCAGACCCCTCCTTTTATTCTGCAGGGTGAAGCCACTTTCACTTTTGGTTCCATGATCATGTTTCTGGGAAAGTCAAATTCAGTTTACAGTAAAACATCTCAAGGGTGAGTGCACAAGGGTGTTTTCCTTGTTGTTGAGCTGTGTATATAAATTGTATTCCTCCATCTTAGATAATATACACTTATTACTTATTACACTTATTATTTACTACTGCCTGTTGGCTTAAAGCTCATACAGTATCTCTAGAGGTTAGAAACAGGTTGAAATACAGGAAACCCACAATTAATTGTTTTATTGACTTTCACAGGACATTAGATTTTTTTCATGATTTCCAAACTTTTAGGCTTTGATATATAAAAATGTTTTACTGGGATTTGTCTGTCAGAAGTGAATGGGCATCTGAAATAGCTGACTTACTTTTTAAGAGTGTTGATTTAGTGTGGATAAGAAACTTATCTCCAAAAACAAATGTGAAGGTGGAGGAGTTTAAATAGACGACCAAAAAAAAAAAAAAAGCCCAAACTGACAACGTATTGTTTATTTAAGAAAGATTACAATTATGAATATGAATATGACTATAATTTGCCAAAAAGTCAGAGATCACTCTGTGTACAGTTGTATATACAGTTGTACAGTTGTATATATTGTATACCGGTATATATATGTATATAGTTGTGTATATTGTGGTATAATACCACTACATATAAAAAAACTAGTGCTCAACAGTCTAAGTTTGCTCTTTTATGTTCCATAATGCAAATCCTATGTTTTGTTAGTGTTAGCGTCAGTGTGTAATGTGTCTGTGCAGAACCTGATAGTTTATGTTCTTATTTTTATAGTTTTAACCATGAGGTGGCTGCATTTGCTGAGCCCAACTGTATTTTACTACTGTGGTTTTGAGTTCCTGTTTCCTGTGTTAAAGTGGGTTGATATCGCTGAGATCTACTTTCTGTGTCTTTTTAATTTGCCAAAACGTCTCAAAATGACAATGCCACCCAGTTAGCATAAAATCACATTTCTAGTACACCAGAACAACAAAATCTGAGCCCAGATCATTTACAGTTATTAACAAGTTGCTTATTTGGTTTATAACACTTAGCCTTGGTGATTCAAATATGTATAGATGTCCGGATAAACAATGTATGGCCACTGTGTTGGGTCACTGATCCACTTGGAAAGGACTGAAGGAGCATGACAGCTGACAAACGCTCAGGTTCAGGCAAAGGCACAACATTATTTTAATATGAAAGACATGTAAACACACTCAAATTTCATTGTCACCTGTTGAATCTTCAGTTTTCGGTTTTTTCTAGTACCTGTATGTGCCAGTGTGATGTCTTACTGTACGGACACACACAAATCAGAAGGTTAATGAGGAAGTCTGCCTTTGTGTACAGACCAAACAGATTGCCGCAGCATCCAGTCTTACACCACCAGGCTCAGGGACAGACTGTTCGCCACTATAACACTTTACTCACACAACACTCATACACAGACGTCATTTTATACTTTATTGCCATCTTACACTATATACTACTTTATACTAGTACCATATTATACTATACTTACTGTGCTACATATTCTCTTGCAATGGCTCCACCTGCTCACTTGCTTACTTGTTTAGAATCTGTTTATATCTCAGCCTTATTACTGCCTGTGTATATCACATCACAGTTATACATTTATTTACTACAGTTTATAAGTTGTATCCCCATCACTGTACATATTTATCCATCTCAGTATATTTATTTATATCCATCCTGTCTACAGTCTGTGTTCATTATGTGTATTTTACTTTTACTCACCAGAAGGCGGCAGTATTTTCCCCTGCGACTCTACTTCC